ATATATATATATATATATATATATATATATATATAAATCAAGCAACCTAGATCTAGTATAATCTATCGTTTAATAAATATTTAAACGTTCAAATATATAACTTGTATATATTGTTGATATAATGACAAATAAATGATATCGTTTCCTCGTTTATTCCTTTCTCATGTTTGCAGTTAACCGTATACCTACTATATTTATTGGCCGTCATAGAAATTACAAGGAAATGTCATGGTATGAGAGGAAAAAATACATAGTAAGGGTTCTAAGAAGCCGACCGACGAAGAAAGTAGCGGGTAAAACGTGTCGATTGTCTGAATGATTTAATGAGCCATGTACGTTGATTCGCGATTACCCCCAGCTTGTAGCTAACTCCCATTCCCGCTACCGTCGTGTCTCTTTCCAGTAATTTACTTCGCAGCTGTGTCGCATCGAAGGTGCTGCCAGTGGCACCGCTTATTAAACTGAGAAAGAGCGAAACTCGTCACTGGCTTTTTTCAAACTGGTCTAATAATGGCGGTTAAACGCGTGCCGCAACATTCTGCCGCTTGAAAGATCGTCTTATCGTTTAAAACATCAGACCAATTAAAGTCAGGCGGATTACAGAACGACATGTACCTGCAACTACGTCGTTCTCAAACACGTAATTTCCGACATAACGTAAAATATTATTAAAATCTGCTAACATTTCTATAATTACCGCCCATTTGAGCTGGCAACGAAGCAAAACAACAGAAAGCAATTATCAAGGTTAATGTTACACGATACGGCAAAATGTTATTGGCAAATAACATACATGATTAGATATTTCCACCATGTGACGATATATATAAAAAATCTAAGTAATTAATATCATAATTTTCGAAAGTAGAAAGATTAACACGTTTTGTTAGATAATACACAAAATATCATCCTTTTTTATATGGAATACCGTGCATCGTTAAACAAATATTCAGTTACATCTCGATTATCACGATTTCAAATAATTTGGTATATATACACGCGAACAAAATCGATGATAAGGCGTTTGTGTTTACATAAAAATCTATCGCGAATATGTTAAATGACGCAGCAAACAATAATTTCTCTCATTGGCAACAAACGAACTGAGAATGGTCAATAGAAAAAGCTGTCAGTAAATAATACCTTTGGTCTGTAGTTCGTTTTCTTCGCGTTTTGTTTCCTCGGGAGATACGTCTTTAATCCACCTTGGCACTATGCGAAAAATATAACCGACACACACCGATTCTTTCTCGCACTATCACAAACACTTCATGTATATATATATATATGTATAGTCTAAAGAAAAAAAGAAAACGCGTGCACAATGTCACACATATATATACGTATATCGACGTATAAAGCGTCGAGACGAATCGCGAACGTCACAACCGCACCGTACAACGAACGACGCTCGACTGCGAGCCGGGTACCGAAGTGGATGACGGGAAACGTGTGAACGCCGCTTGCCGCCGCGGCGAACACCAATGAGCGGCTACTAACACTATCCACCACGGCAACGACACTGACACACCAATAAGGGGACACAAATGTACACAGAGAACGGAATGTGCATCTCTTTTCTTTTCATCTCTGTCCTTTTTCGACTCGTTTCTCAGTTCATCGAGTCAAGGGCGTCGACCGACAGGGGCGATTCGTTGTTTCCTTATATCGAAGAAACCAATAATGGCTAATTTCATAATGATTATGAAATTACAAGTTTTCTCCTCGTTCAAAGATACGTCAATATCGATCGAACGATTCGCATTCTACGTTAAAACGGTCCACGAAAGATCTCACTCGATACGGCTTCTTATCGGAAATTTTAATAGCTATTTAACTTACTAACACCACGCTACCGATGTCTTACACTCTCCGCAACTTTTTAACGAAGTTTTGTCACGGAGTTCTTTCTTGAGCGCATAAAGGAAAACAATATTTTAACTTATATTCGACATGAAAAGAAAACAAATTTAATCTTACATAATTTCTCTATTAATTTCTATTTATTAACCACGTGTTCACGCATATTTAAAGATATATACGTTAAATATACAACGAATAGCGTTCTAAATTGTTTAAATATTTATTTTATAAAAACATCGTTTTCCTTTGTTATGTCGATTATATTTGTTTCCTTTGTCACGATTATTCGAGATATAATTTCTCACTTTAAAAAAATCTTTATCGACACCTCTGCTTTTAGGTGTCTCGCTCGCACTCAATAGTAGTATCCTCTCACTTTCTATCCTCTTTGCACGTATACAGAAGATGAGACATATCATTTGATCTCTGTCGCACTTCGGTTTCTTGATCTTCTACCTCTTCTCGTCGTTTGTCTCACTTATTCGTTCTATCTTCAAACTTTCCGCCTCTGTCTTACAGGTGCACCGCATCATCGCTATCGTTGTTTCGCTCGCACCTATCTTTTGTCATACATATGTCTCTTGTTCTCCATCTCTATTCATCTTCTTCATTCTCTCGTTCTCGTTTCATCTCTCTTTTAACCGTGTATACCGCGATCGTCGCATCTGCGTTTCCCCGACTCCTGTAGAGCAACAGAGACTGCCTCTCTGCGCGCGTCCTGCTTGCACTTAACTGCAACGAGGCGTAGAAGGAGGAGTACCGGAACCAAGTGCCGAACGTTGCTTGTGTGTCGCATGTACGGAGTGTCGGCAGCGCGCATAGGACAAAGACAGAGTGAGTCAAAGTGCTAGAGCCGGACAACACGAGTCAACCGGCAATGTAAGGAGAGACCTTTAGGTGGGTGCAAGCGATGCAATGGTGAAGGTGATATTCCAAGCGTGGTGAGTGCGTGTATGTGTGTGCTCATCATATTACACACTGCTCATACATCGTGTCTGCTGCGCTTTGAGGGCGCGAGGAGATGAATCCTCGATTCGGTTAAACGCCCGCCAACTGGGGATGTTCTAAATCAGGCTGTCTACCTGCGACTTGGCTTTCTGAAATTCCAATACCCATATTCCTCTCTCTCTCTCTCTCTCTCTAATCGTGCAAAATACGAAACGGTTTATAGATAAAATGTGTGCGTGCAATCGTGGAAATTCTTCATTACAATAACGAAGGTCTACAAGAATAAAGGGTTCGGGACGCATTTTTATCAAGGAAATAGTCGTACTGATAACACGTCAATGATGATATTGTGAAATGAATTTAGCACACCTTTGTACGAGCGTTATTCTGTTTATTGACACATCAATTTCAAGAATGCAATAACCGTAAAACATTTAGCCTCGGTAATATATAGCGGATAAATGAAATATCGCGTGATTAAACGCCGACTGAAATTGCTGTTACTTCGCCCTTTGGAATCTGCTGCATTTATTGTATCGATTCGTGTATAGTTCGAGGAGGAAAATTATGTTATATCGACGATAGCAGTTATATAGCGGTGTGACGGAGAGGTGTAGCCAGGAGGCGAGTAAACAGCTGAAGAAAACTTTGTGGGTGGATTAGCATGGTAGGTGTCGGTGGGATATCATAAAACTAGTTTGTGAAGCGCAGGGCGCACCCTCCGTTGTACCGAAGGATTTCATTCCACAGGATTTCATTCAATCCACATTGCAACGGTAGACTGACATTTTTTGAAGGGAACTCCGACAAAGAGCTTTGAAAGAGCGGATTAAAGGAAAGAAAACTTCATCGTTACTTCGATTTTCTTTAATATGATTTCGCTCGCCACAATTTCGGGATTCGAACTTATTCAATTAAAATCATTGAACAATTTTTTATTTTGACAAATTGTACATTAAAATCTGATCAATTTAAATCTGTTTAAACATTTAATTTCAATTTTAATTTTTTCTTAAAAATTTTTTCTCTCCACTCATCGCATATCAATCCTTTGCCCTACTATATCAAATTAGATTCTATTTAATCTGCAAAATTGATATTGTACTATCGTATTTTTCTTTTTTTATTTTTAAATATTTTATCAACTATCAAAACAATCGATGTTAAAATGTTAAATACCGTTCAAATCAAGAAGTCAAGCGTGAATATATCTTTAAATTTTTTAAATTTATCGTGACAAAACATGGAAGAATATACAACATTTATCGTTCACTTCAAAAATGATAAATTTGTATACTTTGGCATGCAAGTCTGTCCATTTCTCGTTAAGTAAATCACGTACAAAAACGACGCGACGTATATATATATATACACACGTATACGTTCATTTACTTATTTCTATTCGACTATCAGTCGCAGAAGCATCCATGAACGTGTTACGCGTGGTGTATGCGTACCGTAAACGCAATGTACATGTACACTGTCTTTCCCTCCAGTTCTATCTCTTTTCCTCTCTCTCCCTCTCCTGTTCCCACCTTCGGTGCATTGTGCTTCGGTTCTCGATCCCTCTTCCGAGCCCTTACCACAAGCCGCAACCCACTACACTTTTGCACGAACACGCGCGCGTTCATTATCAACGTACAACGTCGTATAACCATATTTACGTAGCACCGGTGGTCACCCACACGGACGCAGCGTGCAATGAGGTTGCAAAGAAACGACTTGTGCACAGAAACGAAATGCTATTTGTCGGTATACGCAAGAAGCGCGGGAAAGAGGAAGAGAGAGGCATAGAGAGGGAGGAAGGGACGAAACGAGACAGAGAGAAAAGCCATAAATGCAATTGGAAACCTTTAGCTGATATATTCGCGAAACTTCCTCTGGCGTCGCGTCGTGTAGACAGAAAGGAAGCAATGCGTTTCTTAAAATAATAACTCGCCTCGTACAATTTCGTTTCATCGATAGTTTGATACATATAGTATGTATATATATATATGTATATAGGTATATATAGTATGTATCGATAATGGTGAATGAAATCGTGAAAGCCGCACGATCCCGCTTCCCTTCTCTCATCCTCGTTATAATTACACCGATGATTAATCGTTTATTTAAAGCACTTAAAGCGAAAGCTTGCCGTCTCTTACTTCTTTTCTCTACGCTCGAATTGTCGTTCACCGCGGATATCATCTAATTAATTTTCTCATAAATCATGCGAGCAAAGAAATAACGGAGGAACGTAAACGTTTTTGCGTACGCATGCGAAATTATTGGTTTCTTATCGCGTGACTAATAACGAGCCAAACGAATGTCGGAGGCCTTCGTAATTTTGCCGGTAATTGGAGCAAATACGGTGTATGTATTACACAGTTGAAAGTTGTTGTCAAGAAAATCGATAGGTATATCTTTTGTTGAGTTATACAACGAAGTCGCATGCAACGATGTATTAAAGAGAAGAGCAACGTAAGACGATATTACGTTGATGCGAAGTTAGAACAATGGAGCGTGTCTCTAGAATGTTTTAAATATAAAACTCCGTATTTGCTGGAAGCACTGTCGGCACGAGTCGCCTTTAAGTTGTTTCCCTGAAGAGTACTGCCATTCTTAGGGTATACCACGCTGGAATCATCTACTATCGGCATCGTAAAAGGGGTCTATATATCTAACTTGCACCACTCCGGTGAACACGAACCCCTGAAAATCCTGTAAAACACGCGAACAGTTCGGATAATCATTCTTGCTACGGGGAACGATTCGCTGCCGAGCTACGTCTCTCATCAAAGATAAAAAAAGGAACTGGTTAATGGGATAGAACGGTCTTATCTCGAGTGTTTGAAATGTTCGCGATATCGTATTTTCACAGTACAGACGATGTTCGCTCAATATTCGTATGGTAATTAGGTAGCAGAGGGATTCCTTTGTCATGCCTTGTTTATATGGATTAACGGCGTACAAACGTCACAGCATTCTTCGATTGCTTTATCCCAATAACTTAATTATGTTTTTTTTTAACGATGTTTCTACTTATATTCATAATGATATGAATGAAAACCAAACTTTAAAAGTAATACTTCCTTTTTTTGATCCAATCTAAATCGCAATAAGCGGACTAACTTAAAGTCTTTGTAGCATGCGGAAAAACCAAGTAGTTATTTTCTTTTGTGATGGATTTATTGTAGGTTATACATATATCTTTGAATTCCTTGCAAGTACCAATTATGCGTATGTTACGACTGACAAGATAACTTACCTATTGCACGCGAAACGTACATACATAATTCGGATGTATAATACAAGAAGCTTTCTTTCAGAGTAACAAAGTTTTGTTCTTCAAATAACTTTGCAGTTCTTTATTCTGTACCGTGTTTCTTTCAATTCCGTTTTTATCTTGGCAAGCCGTTATGAAGAACGCAACGACATCTGTCTTCAAAGGAAATCATAGAGTAGTTTTCTGTTGAGTTACGAGATAATGAACTTTAAGAACGGACAATATATTTATGTGCATCATTACGGTATACATCGTTAAATGTACATCATTAAATATATATATTTATTTGTTAATCGAATAACAAATGTTTGATTTATAATATCAATCGTATTTATTATTCGAGTAATTGTTACGAAAATAAATTTCAAATTATCAAACTATCAAATTTTTAAATTAAATATGTAAATTAAATATGAATTTAAATATGTAAAAAATAATATTTAGACCTAACCTCGCACAATATACGTGATCAGAGTTTTATAATTTTCAAATAATCTTATACCGGTAGCAAGGCTACCGTTATAAGACTCATTTCTTATTCTTCCAACTGGTCTTGTCACCGAAAACGCCAGTCTTACGAAGACTTGGTGACTGTTTTTCATTCCTCTGGCGAAGCTCGGTGTGACAGTACTGTTTGTATTGTATACACCTTTTTTCCAGCTGTTCTTTCATATACATGCTGTGGCAAACGCGCGCGCACACTCACATACACTCAGGATTCTTTTTCCATCTATCAGCCATCTCATTCTGTCTCTGACCCATCTACCACCCACGCGCCCTTTTCTATACTCATTTTTACACCGCCTATCCTTTCGTTGTATGAACAGGCAATGCGCAAGCTGGGAAAGAAAAGAAAGCAACGAGAACGAAACACTGCCGTCTTCTCGTTTAACTTCTCTCCATTTCGATAATTGGGAAACGTTTGGTACTATAGCTTAGCCTTTGTGATGTAAGTTATGATTGTAACGTTAATATCTGTAAAATTATATATTTGATTATTTTGATGTCATTATTTTATTTATTAAAAAAAAAGTTAATTTAAAGATTCTGATAATTTTAATGTACATGATGCTTCTTTTCTTCATTTTATAATAAATAGTAAAATAGACTTTTAGATTTTATAAAAAGATTTTGAAATTACCTTGTATATAATAATATCTCGAGCTATAACAGGAAAGCAAACGTTATCGTAATTATGTATATATAAAAATGAGATGAGACAGATGTAAATGTAAAACATATCTTGTAAATAAAGTATAAAGTTAAAACATTTTGTTTTTTATATGTTTACATATTTATCATCATTATACATATACTTAAATACATATATATATTTTTAATTATACTTTAATAATAATAATAAAATTAATTATACCTGTTAATAATACCCTTTATATCGATCATTGTTCATAGAACAATTAAAATCCATAGTCATTTCAAAGAGATATTATGACTTAACATAGAATATTACATAAATTATATTCTTGATCAATTTTATTTATATCGTCAATTTTATTTATATCTTTGATGTAAATTTTATTTATATAAAATATATAAAAACTAACCTATAATATTTATATATATACGACTAATATGTACGACATGTTTGACAGAATCGATAATTTTAGAGGTTTCGATCTTTAGGATTAATCGATAATTGGAATAAGAACAAATAACAGCATTTTGTTAATAATATTCTCTTGTAAGAAAATTGAGATATGTTCAAAAGCTACTGACGTAAGTCTGTCGAAAGTGTTGAGACTGGAATAAAGTAATGCTTCTGATATTGGCGAAAATGTAGGACGAACTAAAACGCACTTGATGCAAGAGTGCGTCACTTCGAGGCGTTAAAATCGAGAGTGAAGTGCCGACTTAACGACTCCTTCAGTTTTACTATTTCACTTTTTCCTCGCTCTTTTTTTTATTTTAACAGTTGCAAATGATGCTCTAATGCATATAAAATAACATGCATATAAAATATATATTCCGTTGTCAAATTATGCAGAAAAATATAACTGAGGAATCATTAAAAATTGTTTGTAAAAATAATTTGTATATAATTTGTTATTAATATATAATGAATATAAATGAAATGAAATTCATTAGTTTTATTAAATATTTTAAATATTAATAACATTACAATAAATTTTTAGATCGAAATAATAGAAAATAAAAAATTATATTTTTTATAATACAATTTTTTTTAAAAATTAATATATCTATTTATTATTAGATTTATATCTGTATGAAATATTTTTATTATCACAAGCGATAATTATATTTTATAGTGTAAATGATTTTGAAAATATTATAATAAATATCTAAAATATATAATAAATATTTAACAAAAAAAATTATATAAAAAATTTATATACATTTTTCTTTTAAATTTATATTATTTCAAATGTTTGAATATCATTTTTATATTAAATTTTTAATTTCATATAGATTATAATTTGTTGATTAATAATCAATAAAATTGATAATACAAATACATGATGTTTGTAGTTACAACAGCAATAAATTAAAATACAAAATAAATTAACATTGGAAATGTTTGAATATTTGAGAACTCTCAATATTTTGAAATTTTGTAAAAATAAAAAATATAATTTTATTGTATTATTAATACAATTGTTAAAAAATAATTTTTAACTAAAACAATTTTTAACTTTATGTGATACAGGCATAAACAATAATATATTATTATATTTAAAAAATGTTAAGATAAGAAAATATAATAATATTTATAATAAATATCTTATCTAAATTTTTTTTTAAGTTTTATATATATATATATATAAGAAAAAACATATTTTATTATCGACATTTCTCAAAACTTGCATTGTGTTGCCATCTGTTGACGAATTTTCGAACTAACATTTTTGATGTAAATGAACATAATAATGACAAAGACAGAAACATAATAATGACAAACTTTTTTATTTGTTATAAAATAATATACAATAATAATAAATATTATTAATTCTTTCTAATCATTAAAAAATTAAATTTAATATATTGCTTGTTCAGATATACAATGGTAATTTTAAATATGAAATAAATGAAGTATATTTAACCAGAAACAAGAAGGAAAGAGAGATAGAAATAGTAAACAACTGGCATCTAGTACTAAACGAGTGATTCAATGTAGTTGGCAACTTGAGCTTAGTTGTTGATGAACTGTTGAAGTGAAAGTACAGGTATCGCCATCTGATGACCGAATGAGAGGTGCATTCGCAAAACGACCGAAACAAGACGCTTGAAGAGAGGAATTGATCCGATGCTTGTGTATATGCGCGCGCGCGTATCTAACTGTAAAACTGCTCTCGAGAAGTGAGAAACATTAGCGGTAATCGTTGATCATTCGGACATTATTTCATTCGTCTCTTATTCGCAACATGAGATGAGTCACTGCTGTGATTTTCGATAAAAGAGATCGCGAGTGACGAACAAGACTATTCAACGTATTTGCCGTGCTTTTGAACAAGGAGAAATACCAGCCGTGAACAGAAAGAACTACGATACGAAGGTTAAATAGTGTTATTCAAAGGCATTGTATGCGACAATTGATTTTATGCGAAATGGATATTAAAAATGTCATGTATAATGTTGTGAGAGAAGGAAAATTGGCACGCTTAAAGGTAAGCCTCGATTAAATTTTTGAATATATAGTGTATAAACTTTATCTACAATATACAACAGCCACATTTTACATTTCATTTCATGGCATATCCATTCAGGGAAAATCTTTCTTTAGGTATAATAAAAATACCCTATTCTAAATATAGTTATAGGTATCTATAAATAACCTCGAACCATGTTATAAGTATGTAAATTTATTTTAAGATAAATATCGATGAAAGTATTTCATTTTTTTTTTAATAAGCTAATCGTTAATTGCATTAATTAAATATTATTTAATAATATCATATTTTAAAATTTTATATGATTATTAATGCATCGGATTGATGGATCGTTTTATATATTAAAAACGAATACATAAATTTTTTATAGGTTAACATTTAAAGTTAAAAATTTTATTAGAATTGTTTTAAATATACAAAATTATTCAATTTTTATTTTATCAATATAAAATTGAAATATAATATGTATATATCGTAATAAAAATTTAATAACAGAAACAATAAATATTATTAAAATATAAAATATTTTTATTAAAAAGATTATTAACAACTTTGATGCTTCAAAGAACAAATTTAAATATTACAATTATAATGTTTATTATTAAAAAAAATTATTAAATAAATACAAAAAATATATTTATATATTCTGATACTATTTTATTTTTGTAAAATTTGCTTTTTTTTCAACAATGTCATTCCTCGTTAAATTATAAGACAAAGAACGCGCCAATACTTCGTTTCCGGTTTTCTAATGTCGGTCGATCACAGCGCTTTTAGTTATTATTCTTACATATGTATATTATTTTATAACAAATTTAATTCGTATAATTAAATTCATATAAATCTACTTAATTATAACTTTGTTTCTTAATTTTCTAATGATTATTGATAAACAAATATTTATTAAATGAAATTATTTTTAATATATTATAATATTTTACTCTTGATTAATTGATAAATTTCTATAGAAATAGTCAAACGTTGAAATTAACAATATTTATTGCGTTTCTCTAAGGTAAATATTTTTTAATCATAATCAAATTCTTGTATACTTACAAAATTTATGAATTTTTATTATTTTTATTATATTAATAATCATTCATAATTATATCAGAGATTATTAAAAAATCTAAAATATTTTCTTGTTTCAAAATAATCTTATTGAATCGAGAATGTTTTTTTCTTCTCTTTTTTCTTTTATTTTTACATGAGTGCATGTGCTTATTCAGAATAGAAACACACTATTTTAATGATATCCCTTACATATATTAATACATTACGAAACTTTGAATATGATTGGCCTTCTACCAATTTTATCTTACTTTGTACAGATGTGTATAGGATATGCATCGCGATAATGTTAAAAAACGAAAAAAAGGGAAAAAAAATTAGATTCATCATCTTCTTTCCTGTAAACTTATTATAATTAAAAAAAAAAAGATTTTCTGTATTCTTAATGCCCATTTATCTTGAGTAGAAAATAGCTAGGACAAACAGCAGTTATATTTAGCAGATTAAGACATCCATAGACACTAATGGGAAGTCTGCTTAGTTAGATATGTATATCTACATCTATATACATGTCTTTTATATGGTATTTATATATATATAGGTAATAGGTGGAATATAAGGGTAAGTTGAAACGTGGAACAAAATGGGCAACGAAGAGACTATTATAATGATTTATACAAGCTAGTTGATTTATTAAAAGCAATGAAAAAATGTAATAATAGAAACATCAAATTTCTCTTTTTCTCTTTTTCTCTTTCTTTCTCACACACACACAAAATTATTAATATAATAGGAAAAAATCTTTCGAATGTAAAACAGAAACTTTTATACGTATATTTTATAGAATGCGTAATTTAATATAATAATTATTTTTAATATTAATCAATAAATCACAAGAGATATGATAATTTGTAGAAAACAATAATCACATGTTTCGAATTAAAATGATAATATTTTAATGTGGGTCAATATCGATATATTGATTTAAATGTTAATTTAGTGAAGTTTGATAATTTAGTGAAGTTAATACGGTAATCTCGTAGCCACATTGTTATAATGCACATATAGTGTTAACATGTCGCGTACATATTCCTCTAGTGTCTCTGTCTAATGACAAACTCATTGTTTCGAACCAACGGTTAATACATGCTGCACAATAATGTTAATATTCTCTGATTCTTTAAAATTTATATAATATTCCTAAAGAAAAGATTTCTTTTTTTTTTTTTAAGTATTCAATTTAAATTATTACGAACATAATGTGTACACATTTTAACTTTTATCAAAAGTATTATGCAAAGTAAACCGGATTTATAAATTTTACGATAACGAAAGGTTCATTAACCTAAGTGCAATGAATCATAATGTAACGCAAAAGAGCATATATCATATGTACATATGTTTGTATCCCATATTTCCATCATGTGCCTTTATATTCTTGACAGATATTAATTCAGATTACCGTTATACCTGATCTAGGTCTACTCACTTCAGTTTTCTAGCACTCGCAAAAAAATTGTGAAAGCAAGCTATTGATTTTAAACAAGAGCACTATTGGTGATCCACTAAAAACTTTCAAAAGATAGGACTATAAAAGACGCTTTAGTGACTTGTAGCAATATCACCATCTGTCATTGCGTCTTTATAATTTTTGTTAATTCGTAATTTTTCGTACATGCGATTCGTAATGCGTTCTTGAATGTGAAAACGAATATTTGAAATTAATCGGTGAAAATATGTACGATTGAAAAATTGAATTCATACGATTTTCATATTTATATTCGTACAATCAAATTATTTGATTTGAGATTGTTTAAGTTCGATTAATTTGACGAAGTGATTATAATATAAATATAATTACATATAATTTAATAGGAATTAATTTACATAGGAATTTTTACTTAACTTAACGAAGTTTTATCTTTATAACTTTTAAATATTTAAAGTATGGAAATTTAATAGATAGAAAATATGGAATTTTAATAAATAGAAAAAGATATCATAAAATAAAGATAAATAGTTTTAAGTTATATACTTGATTTTATGATAGTTATATCTTATTATACTTGATTGACTTGATTTTATTCTGGAAATGAAAATTTTTCGAAATCATTAATATTTTTTTTATATGGAGCTATATGTTTTTTTATATATTAGTCGATTCATTTTATTAATTTTATAAGAAAATATTCAAAAGTGAAGTATTATATTATACAAAGGACAAGGAAAATAAATTGCACGAAATTGGAAATATTATTAAATTAATCTTAATATTAATTATTTTTTAAATTAAGAATTAGAAATTTGAAACGATAATTTCATTCAAAATAAGTAATACGTATTCTCATTAATAATATGTTTCAAATCAGATGATAATTTTTAATGACATATAAAATTATAAATCAACATAAAATATTTATAAATGCTTCGTTTATTGTATTTTTCTTATCTTGAATTAATAATGGCAACATTTATATATTTTTATTATTAAATATGCAAATTAAATATGCGTATTATATATGCAAATTATAGTACAAACATATCTAACTGCTTATATTATTAAATTTAAAATATAGAAATTCAATTGTTGCTATGCTGTTGTATAATTAAATTATTTAATATTAATGAAATATCAAGTTTCCAATCTAATTCTGTTATATAAAAGTGACATGTTTAAAAATTTCATCAATTTAATGTAGATTTTTTTAAATTCTATATTTTATCTATTTCTATCTCATATATTTTTTAAACAGAAACATATACATAAACATATGTATCTTGTCAATTAACAATTTCATTCAGTAAATTCTGCAAATTCATTAATTTTGAAATAATTTTTAATTTTTTTTTAAATATTACAAATCATAATATTGCAAAATAAATTGATATAAAAAATATTTTATTTATCTAAGACATAAATTATTATAATGTGTGTAATAAAAAAATTTCACTATTAGAGTTTTCTCAAATCAATTGATATTACTTGAAAAAAAAAAGAAGAATGAAAAATATTAGAAATTTTTAATAACTTTATAATTACAAACTGTAAATAACATAGATTCACATTGATAAAAAAAGGTTTCAAGTTTGTTTAAATTCAAATTGTTTTAATTTGACGAAAGCCAACTAACAAGGCTTAAAAGGAAGAAAAATATAAAAAATATGCCAGTCATCGTATCGATTCAATTAACACATTGTTGATTGATCAAGAGTAAACTCGTTTATTCATGCTCAAACGTTATTGATCAGTGTCAAGTTAACTCGTATTTATCTTGTTATTGAAAAAAATATGCTGTAGAAAAAACATTAATAATTTATCTAGAGACTAAGATTTAATGCTTACAGAGGATGGAATAAAAATAACGAATGAAGATATTTTAATAGTTTTAATTTTAATAGTTAAGTTTTCTTCAAAGAAAACTTCATATTAATATGTAACTAATGTACAATATGCAATTATTTTTTTATATACACATTCGTATAATTGTAAAGTACAATTGTATTTCTTTTCCAAATAGAATTCTATTACTTTTCCGAATCAATAATATATCAATAAAAAAATTGTCTATGAATCTCATATTGTTAGAAGCGTAATTTAAAAAAAGTATATGCTAGGATAAATAAAGGATAAATAAAGTTATTAATTTAAATATTATTTATTTAAATTTATGTATTTTAATATTCAATTATGGAAAAAATAATCGATTTTATGCATTTCATTTTGCATAAAATCATCGTATATAACTATGATGATTAGCCAACTTCTACGTTCAAGTTTTCACGATATCGCAATGTTTTTATCTTTCCGATTCATTGTTAAGAAAATTACACAAGATGATGATTGTTATAAAAAATTAAATTCGTTAAATGTTTTTCCTCTTTGTATTGTAACGAGTAACGAATGATTCTCGTATACTATTTAGTATCTTTGTATTATAATAGATATGTAAAATTTCAGTGCAATTTTGCAATGTGGTCGTAAAAAAAAAAAAAAAAAAAAGGAAAAAAAATCGTTCACTGTTATTTGATATGACACGAGGAAATCAATCTGTTACCCGGATTTTATTAAAACCTTGATAGCCCCGATTATCGAGTTTGCAACACGGTAATTCCAATGATGTTTTTATCGGAATGAACAATAGATGCGTAGAAAATTACATATAAAAGCTTAAAACGCTTTTGGTTCACAGGAAATTTTATTATACAAGGAAATTTATTATTACAAGTATATACTTCATGATTTTGCAGATTTTTACTATTAATACGTGTTTATGAATAGATTTGTATTTTTTATTTTTTTTTATCTTTCCTTCAAATTTTTTTTCATCGTTGATTACATCCTGATTTTCAATATACATCATTATCACAAAAGTATATTTATATTTTTTTATTTCGTTCAACATATTACGAGTTTTAAAAAAAAAAAAAATTTTTTTTCTCGTAATGGTTTAATATTTACAATAATTAATCTTGAGAATGTATTTCAACAAAATAGAAATATCTGATGTATAAAATATCTATAAATTATAAATTGTAATTACAAATATATAAGTCCAAAACGTCATTTCGATGTATCCTTCAGTTTATTCATAGATATTAACAAGTGAAATAAATTTGAACAGAAATATATAGAATACTCTTATTGTTTTGCATTGCGTTCCAATATTTGGTTGCAGTAATATTTAAAATTCGTTTCTCACAAATATTTAGAAATTGAGCGGGTATAGTTGCCGTTTAATTTCATTCAATCGATAACATCATCGATTATGATTGCTTTAAGTTTTATATAAATTAATTAAGATCAAGAAATTTCTAAATATTACATAAATATTTTATTTTCTGTTAATATTATTCTTTTATAACACCAATTCAAACGAAATTGAACGATGTTTTTCAATTATTTGCAAATTAATTCGAAGAATTCAATTAGTAATTACTTAAAATATTCCAGAATCGATAAAAAATTGAAATTAATTATCCATAAAGAATTTACATTTTATTCTTAGTAAACAATTCACACGAATTAAGCTATATTTTCCTATATAAAATAATATTAAGTGGAAAATTGATTATGGAATAAATCATTTATTATCTATTATTATCTTTTCAAGAATATATTTATTTAAAACTGCAAAAAATGAATTATTTTTTATTTTTCAATTATATATTTAAAATATATTTATAGATAATAAAAAATATTTTGAAATTTCAAATAAAAATAATCATTGTATCATTTCAAAATTATTTTTAAATTAAAGAAATATTAAGCATACGTATGCGTGCCAATATCTCTCAAGAGATTAATTTCATCCACTTAAAATATTGCCACGATATAATAAACTCGTAGATGAAACGAATCTTTGACATTTCTGTTATTGGATTATTGATAAAACCTTCGTGTCTTTATATTTTTGTCGACGTATATATTGTTCATAATCTGTGAACTTATAACTTATCAATTGATTAATAATGTTGTCAATTTGAAAATTAACATAAAAAGTAATAGCTTTGAGAAAAAGTTTAAGGAATGTTCTTATACAAACTTTCCATTATATTATAAGTTAATATGATGAAAATAATTTACTAAAATACATATCAACAAGATTCTTAAAATTTTAATAAAAAACTAACCATTAATGAATAACAAATATTTGTAAGAATTGATCATTAATATCATTAATCGATTGAATTGTTCCCGAATATGATTCATTATTATTCATTTTTTTTTTTTTTGATCATAAGTATTAACCAATTAAATCAAATTTTATACTACTTATATCATCTGAGTTAATATTAATCATTTAAATTAACTCACTATATAAACTTTTTTATATGCTCAAATATAATTGAGATGTAAATAGATGTGTCATACATGGAGACATAATATTTGATGAAGATATAGCATAAATTAACCATTTCTGACAAAAAAAAGTATTTTTTTAAAATCAGTATAATCATATATTACTTCGAAATCAAATTAAAATTATCAATGAATATTTAAAAAGCTATCAATATACCAAAAAATGAAGCGGAAAAAATGATCTGAAAATCAAAAAATATATTGATTTAAAGTTAAAGTAAACGAAATAATTTATAATATAAACAAAAAAAAAATACGTAATTTAAACTTTATTAATTTTAAGAATTATTATGTTCCAAATTTTAATCTTAATTTGACCAACATGATTATTTTTTTTCTTATACACACACACATATATATATATATAAGAATGACTTGATTTCTTGTTTTAAAATCATGATAATCTTGAATTAATATCTCGAATAAATGTTTTAATAGTAATGTTAATATTTTACAATTCAATCAAACAGTCACATCTTAGAATGTTTACGTCAATTTTTCACAAGATTCGTTTCATCCATGATATGCGAGATATTACATAATTTCAATTCTTATTTCGATTCAAGGCTAATACCAATTTGTTCCACGCTCAATGTCTCAATTTCACGAAGACCTTTTGACAAATCACTACTCTGACCGTAACCACAATCACAATCGTAGAACAGGAAGTGTAGAATCCGGCTCATTTTACAGCGAATAAGATATCAGGGATATCCAGTTCAGATTCAATGTAAAAAAAAAAATAATAATAATAATAATAACAATCATATTATTATCGTTGCGATTAAAAATATGCAGAGAATACTTAAATTTTCCTCTTGTAAATTTAATAAGCAACACATTTAATCACATTTTCTTTTCAGTTTTTTTCAAATAGAATCGAGACAAAAAATAATTTTTTGCACTTGACTTCAATTTTTCTTTTTTTTCTTATTATTGCAAGATATCATGATATAAGTTTAATTATCGTAATTGTTGTAATCTATGCTTTACATCGAGATTGTAATATACATATACTATTATTATATATAATCAATTGATTAATTACCGTTTAAATCATTTTAATAATTATAAGCTTCCATTCATCTATTATTTTTTTTTTTTATTTGTGTATAATGTATAATATCGTGTATATTTATAACCGTAACAATTGAACTGATTGGTTAAGTGTTGCAGTATTATTTTAATATATCTAATCAAATGTGATTATCTGCATTGCTTTAAATAAATTTAATAAGAGGAAATTTTTTGATTTTAATATTTCTTATTCTTTTCTTACTTTTATTTCAAAATAAACTCTCTATATTTAAATAAATATATAAAAAAGATTTAGTTTTTAATTAAATGTAAATCTAATAAATTAATCGAATAACAGATATTTGTTTAGAAAATTATTAAGATTATATTAAAATTAAAGTATGTTATTATTATATTAGCCAATATCGAATATATGGTTCATTTATATAATAATATTATATTTAGACAAAATTCATCGGAGAAATTACATTATATCGTTTTAAAAAAAATTCACTTTGATAAAAAAATTAATATAAAAATCAATAAAATATATTACTTTACAATATTTTGATAAATGTATTATAAAAAATTTTTTCAAATTAATTAGATTTAATTGAATTAAAAATATTAAGCGAACCATATTTCACAGAAATTAGACAAAAGAAAAATTAAACTGAAATAAAAAAGTGTATTTATAAAGAATTAAATTAAACGTTATAATAATAATTTTATTAATTATTAGTATTTGTTAGATATTTTTACAAAAGAGATTTATTGAAATTCATAAAAGCTGAAAATAATCTCAAAATAGGTTAAGATCACGATGATGAGCGACAGTTATTCAATTCCCGTTGCAAGGTTATGTTTTCTTCGCTGCTTTCGAAAGACATTTTGTACGGACACATTCTCACCTCAATGGCGGACAACACGATGTAAAATCTAGGTTAGGTTTGTGCATATATGTAACACCTAAACGTTCCAATTACCAAAATAACTTTATGTTACGATGCAAAAATATGTTTTCTTCCTCAATATAGCGTATTTCGCGTTTTTCATCCAATCATTTTTACGAGAGAAACATAATTTTCAAATTCATGATTCAACATCATGAAATATAATTATTTATATATAAGATTTATAGTTGTTAATTTCAGTTTAAATTTTGAGTAATTGCAAATATGTATTGATGTTTAAATTATTTTCATACTTCATCTAAAAATAACCAAAATATTCTTCAATATAAAAAGTTGTTACAAAATTTTTTTCTATAATAACATTTTAATATTATATAAATTTTTTCTTCATTTATTTTATATAATATTTTATTTAACACTTATTTTATGTTATATTATATAAAATAAAAATATTGCATTATTAGTTATTATTAGCCTTGAATATATGTAAGAATATTAATAAAACATTATAAGAGAATTAAGATAATATCTAGTTATTAATATTATTAATTATGTTAATATATAGAAAATCATGTTTCTTATATTTAAATTTATATTAATATTATAAATTCGTTTTTTAAAGTCACATTTATTATCTTCATAGAAATCTTAAGATATGTTTTATTATATATTTTATACATAAATTCTAATTTTAATTTATATTCATTTATATTTATATTCGTTTTATAGTACTTCATATAAAAATATTAAATGGTTTTCATTTTTATGATTATTCTTTCAATTTTTAAAATTATATAGTATAATGTATATATATATTTTTATCTCATTTGAGATAAAATTAGAAAAATGTTTAATCTTTAATTCAAACACAAAGAAGAAGAATCATACATCATATATAATCTATCAATTTTTAATTTTTTTATTTCTATTATATGTATGATAAATTATCTAAAGTCGTGGTTATCGGAATTTTAAATGTATAAAATAAGGAATGTTGTAAATTCATCATTTTATATCTTAATATAAAAAATTTTCCTTATTTATAGATGTTACAAATGTTGTATGTGTTTGTGATTATACAAATAAGATATCTTATTAAATAAGTATCTAATTTCTCATTGTTCAATACTCGTACGATAATTGCTTAATTCTCTAAACATTTTGCTCATAACTACCATTCGAGTTATAATTGATGTAATTATGTAATGGAAGATTTTATCTAGTACCTTGACATTGAATCGAGTTAACTGATTTTTGCACTCGAATCTATTTTTATATTTTTCTTGCTTTATATAACTTAAAGAATTTATTTAATTTTCTTCATAAGTTCTTTTTTTTTTTTTTTTTTTTTTATATACAAATGATTATGATTATAATTTGAATCAATATTATAATGTTTCAAAAAATTCACATAAGATAATTTTTATTAACAATTCACTTCTTATCGTAACGAGCCACGATTTCAATTAAAAAAACTGATTGGAATAACATATTTGCTTGCTTATTTTTTTAAAAATATTATTGCAGTCGAGTAATTAGGATTAAGTGTTAATTATAAAATTTTAGTAATTATAATCCGTTAAATACTACAAAAAAAGAACAGATAATAATTTAATGGACAGACACTGAACTGGATTATAAATTTAATAACCTATATTTATAATATCGACGTATATTTATGTTTTTTATTGTATTCGAAATATTTGGAACCATTTCTGCATAGTTTCCCAATGCGGTTGTCGGTAGATCTTTATTTAGTCAATCTCGACGAAACGTGAACGTGTATTTCATCACACGTTCGAGGTATCACCATTGACTTTTCGTTTCATTCTTTTTTATCGGTTTTGACCAAGTTAGAACAGTTGATTAGTTAAACAAGAGCTTGTTTCTCAATATTCTTGAACGATTATCTATATCAAGTTCCTGGAAATTTTTATGAGAGCAAACAAGTGTCAACACAGCTGCACTTTGTTTGCACTCTTTGAATGACAAGCTTAAAATATAAATTTGAAATTTGTACACGTCCTTTTCTAATATAATATAATCAATTTTAATATCTCCTTTCTTCTTAATTCTTTATAGATCAATATCAAATTGATATATTTCCAATATTTTTCATAGATAATGTGTTACATAGAAAATGTATTTGAATCATAAATGGTTTTAAAAAAATTCAAATGATAATACACTGACAATGCAATGATAATGCAGAAGAGCTTATATGCACGAACAATTCCCCATCAACTGTTATATTAAGTGACATTTTCTTCACACTTGTTACTTACTTATTTTAATCTATAAAAACATCTTAACCGATACTGACTTTTTATATAAATAAGTCAAATTATATACTTAAGCTGATGATAATTTATTTATTTATTGGAAAATGGAACTGTATAAATTTTAATTACTTATTGAATTAACGATTCCACTTTATTATTTTTAACTATATCTGTTCAGATAAGTGGTCAAATAAGGTCCAGGCTATGGGCGTTTTCACAAATACTATATCTAAAGCTGAATCCACACAACTGTTCGTGAACAATTCACGACAGTTTCTTAGTCTTGATACTCTCACGAATACCATTTGCGGACGATAAATTCTTTTTTTGTTCGCCAACTATTCACTGTTAATTACTTGCCTTAATGATATTTACAGAATGTCACAATAGTTGACTCAACAATATTCAACATTTTAAATCTCGATTATTTTCAGCAATTGTACACAAAAGACTTTCACTATTGCTTGTACGTATGTGCATTTCGCTTTGTTCCATCATTGTATCATCTCTCTCTCTCTCT